ACACACACACACACACACACACACACACACACACACACACACACACACACACACACACAGTGTGAGTATAGTCGACCACCACTTTCCTCAGGGCTGTCGCTAACTCTGGGCAACATGGTGAGTCCTTACCTATCACTGAAATGCATCCTGGACAGACTGTCGAGCTTCAACCTCCTGATGAGTCGGCGAAAGTCGGACGAAACAGTCTGGTGCACTCATGTCATGTTTTTTTGGTGGTGTATAGCCAACATGACAACACACACACATGAGTCAGTGAAAGTCCGACGAAACAGTCTTGCACATTCATGGCTTTTTCTTCGTGTTGTGTACAGCAAACAAACATGACAACACACACACACACACACACACACACGCATGCGGCACAAGGCTTGATGAATGTTGGTCACAATCTTGTGCAAGTGGGAATCCCTTTGAAAAACTAGACCACTCTAGGAAAGGGGGAAAGGCGATGAGATTTGTGATCTGTCTTTTTCACTTTTGGCCATGCTCTGGCTTGTTGAAACGGACGCTGGACCGTTTTCCAGCAGGTGTAGCTCCCCACCCATAGACTGGAGCCGACATAGATGGGCGAAATCCTGCTTTTGGAGGTTGCTCTTGGGCATCGCCACATCACTCTCGAAATGTGCAAGATGAGAATGAACTTCCCGATAGAACACGGCCAGGTGCACCCGCCACATTTTTGTCTTTTTCACATTTCGAGACTGGTGTGGCGACGCCGCTTGTCACCCCTCCAAGAGTATGCTTCCCGCTGATGTTTCAAGGAAACCAAAAAAAACAAAAAGAGGAGGAAGTGGCATCACTACTCTCCTCTGCCAAGAAGCAGACCGTAAGACTAAGAAGCCAAACAGCACAGAACCAAGAAAATCGGATCAAGGGTTTGTCCCAAGCAACCTTGGGATAGGGGCAGACAACCCACAACAAAGCGCCACCGGCAACACTGCCAGCCGAAGTACCTCTCGGGGGAAAGAGGGTTAAAAAAAGTGCTGCTCTCGATTTCACCTCACACTACCTACCGTCTTCCACTGAATAGAGTGGCGCCCGTCGTGCTCTTCCAGAGGCTAAAAAACTGTCGGAGTATATGATATCAGATGTCCCAACCACCTTCATCCGTCTACAACCGTCTTCCACTGAATAGGGCGCCTGTCATACTCTCCCAGAGACACCGCTCCATCGGCACCAGACCGCCATGCTCAAGGGCATCTATGGGTGCACCTGGTCATGTTCCAGCGGGAAGTTCATTCTCATCTTGCACATTTCGAGAGTGGTGAGGCGGGTGCACCTGTGTTCAGGGCAAGGAAGGCGGCAAGCATGATACCTTCAACGCTGTAATGATGGGTAATCAGTCAGTCAGTCTGTGCAGCAGAAGATGGTAGAAAGGATCAAGCGCATGTGTAAGAACGCAGAAGAGAGCTTGACGAGTTTAGCTAAACCGGCGTAGACCCATAACCCTAATCAAACCACTTTATGTACATACCATGGTAAAAAAATACGGTGATTAGACTCTAAACCCTAATCAGACCCATGATTAATTAGACCGTGATTACTTACCCATAACCCTAATCAGACCACTTTCTGCACATGCTAGAATACCTTGATTAGACCCCTAACCCTAATCAAACCACTTTATGTACATGGTAGAATACCGTGATTAGACCGATCACCCTAATAACAGCACGTTATACAGTATGTACACATTCCGACAAATCCCAAGCCAGGCGTGACCTTTCCCGCAAGCCAAGCATATCACAGTAGAGAAATGCCTCATCCTGCTGCCTGCCTTCTCTTCTTCACCTGCTGCATATGCATACAACAATGGTGCACCGCATACGATAATTATATCGGTATTTCCGCCAGGTTTCGGGTCAGATGCAGATGCAGATGTGATGATGTTCCCCCGTTCCATTCGAGGGGAAGATTGTAGTTTATCCACGCAGCAGGATCGACACACGACAACCGCAGAGCAAAGTGATAACCGCAGAGCAAAGTGATAACTGCCAGCGCTCCCATACCTCTCCGTACCAAATTGACAGAGCGATTTCGCAGACAGCCAGTCGTGGTACTTCGCGTTTCGGGATCACACCTGCTCATTGGCCTATCCATCAGAAGCAATCAGCCGTGGTGGTCCCGGCTTTTTGCGCCTCTCAACCAATCAGTCGACTTGGACTACCACCGCGTGTTCCAATACCCGATACAGTGGGACTCTTCAGTCTGAGCCCCGGGATTACCCAAGCAATGAGCCTCGGGATTACCGACATCTCAAGCAATCAGCCGGGATTAGCAACATCTGGGGGCCCATAAAGTGGTGGTCCCCACTCATTGCTCGAGTTGCAGCGCATATGCTCCGACTCTGTCACGTCGTTGGGATTATCATACCTGTGCAGATCGACCACGACCACGTGTGTAGACAGACGACCGTGCTTCCGTGTCTGTCGAGTTGGGACCACGCCTGGCCTGGCCTTTGGAAAGAGACTTCAGCCAGTCAAGATGATCATAACAGAAAGAAAAAAAAAAAAAGATGACCATGTGTGGTGTGCTTGTCCATCGCTCAAGATGCGGCTTGTGCGATTCAGGATCGGTCATTATACTTGTATACCTCCAGATTCACCAAGGTGGGATATCCTCATCGCGCTTTCTCCATATTGGTTAGGGTTGCCGTTTTTCCATATCCAGCAAGAATTGGTTCCAGGCCTGACCTTTGAGAATCGACTTGAGCAAGTCGAGATATATGACCATGTGTAAGCCTCCATCGCTCTCTCTCTCTCGAGTTCCGGCTCCTACACGAAATGGGGATGATGGGTCCTCGTTCCCGCCGGCCTTTGAGAAGAGAAGAGAAGAGAAGAGAAGAGAAGAGAGACTTTTGAGCTACCGTCTTCCCCCGAATAGAACGCCCGGTCATTATAGCCGTATTTGGTGCACTTTTCAGTCCAGATACTGCTATAATAACCGGGCGTACTATTCGGTTGAAGACGGTAGCAGCACAAGATGATCAGGCAGGTGTGGTTGCTTCTCCATTGCCTATAAAGTTGCAGCGTGTGCGTGCTCCTCCTCACTTGCTCTCAAGAAGATCGGGCCTGTCAGGCCTGCAGATCAGTCAAAAGATGGGATCGCCGTGGTCCCATCCTTATCCATCAACTTGGGTCCATGCCTGCTGGCCTTTGCGACGATTCTCGCGCCAGCTCCCTGTCCACACGAGATATCTCTCGTTCCACCTTGAAGTACATCACTTGCTGGGTAAATGGCACGATCAGATTGTAATGCAGGACCTTTTTGTTGACGTCCTCCAGCTCCTTCTCGAGCTTCGCCATCCCTTCCCGCCATCGCCATGCCTGTCCGTCTTCCATCTCCATCTCGCCCGCTCCTCCCACTCTCCTTCCTCCCTTCCTCTCCTCCCTCTCCCCTCCCCCCTCCTCGTCGATTTCCGTGTGTTTCCCTTCTCCTCCTCCTCCTCCTCGTCTCACTGCCTCTTCCTCCTCCATCGCTCTCGTCCGCACTGGGTCGCCCCTTCTTCCCGCGATCGTCTCCCTCCCCTTTCCCGCCATCGTCGCCCGCATCAGATTACGCAACCGTTCCCGCCAACGCATCATATCCAATCTTATCTCTTTGTTCAGAACCACCCAATCTGGCGCGAAACCATTATGCCCAAGGACTCGAAATGCCACGTCATCAGCCGGATCTAGATAAGGATTCATGTTCTCGACAGTCCTCAGGGGTCTGCCTTTTCCCGCCAGTTTATCGAACTCGCCTTCTTTCACCGCCTGCAAAATCCGTTGCTCAGCCACAGCGAGCCGCTCTTTCTCGTCCATAACCACGTTCTCTCTCTCTTTCAGTTCGGCGGGAAGAGCCCATTCATACAATCGCCATCGCGCCTTCACGATCCTCTCCGCTGGCTTCTTCATCGTTCTCGCTGCTCTAACACCTCCTCCCACTTCTCCTCTTCCTCCAGCCCTGCTCTGGCGGCCTCCTGCGGCATCGCCATCGCCATCACCTTGAGAACCCTTGCCATCGTTCTCATCAGCACCACGCACGCAACCTAGCCCCGAGTTCATGGACGTCGCCGCGGCGCGCCGATGAAAAGTAGCAGTCCTCGACCCACCCGTTTGCAAAAAAGCCACCCCATCCGGGCCTTTCCTCCATAGCCTGAAGCACAGAGGCCGGCCTCGGTGGTCACCCAAAAAAAGCAGCCTAGTCCACGTCCGGCCCGTCATCAAGAAGAGATCGAATGCTCGCTGTGACGACGGTGATCCGCTCTACCCAACCACCTCCTCACCCTTTTTTTTTTTTTTTTTTTTTTTTTTTTTTCTTTTATCTCTCTCTCTCTCTCTCTCTCCAAATCAGGCTTCAACTTTTCAAGAGCAAAGATGTCGTCAGTGGATTATATGCCGAGATCAGACCAGATACACAGCTGTCTCTTATACACATCTAGATGTGTATAAGAGACAGATCTTCCCCTCGCTTCGCACATCTCCTTTTCCCCCCCCGCTGATCCCGACTCCCCCC